ACAGTTAGTCTACATAGTTGGTTGAATTCAGCCACCTGCCTCAAGGATAAAGAAGGTTTGGCTGCTGCTACCGGCAGTTATCTCGGGTTTCCGTCCCCGAAAAATCGGCCCAGAAAAGCGAATGCTCGGAAACACAGTCTACCCTCAACAAAAACGCCAACGACAGTGATGACACGATGTGCCTCTCCCACTGTCTCGTTCGTCTTAACTCGTGCACGCCTTTTTAGTTACACCACACAGCATACTCACACTACCGCAGCATGTCGAGTAGACCCCATTCGAGAACTAAAAATATATCCTGCAAGATAGTGTCCAGGCAGTTGGGAGATACCAGAGTGGAAGAAATTCCTAAAACCGACGTATATTAGGTCGGCACGAATCTTAAGCATACGGTGGGTGGAGATCCACAACTACCGAGACCAGCACCACCAATTCCAACACGCCCGCCCGCCACCGCCACCTCAAGTAGCGCCAAAAAGCATGCACTACACTACGGACCGGATATCTTAATTAGTTGATACGTCCGGGAACATGAAATAATCAATCACAATTCACCTACGAGAGCTGAGAGTAGCTAAGCAAACAAGAATGTAACAAAGGGTTCAAAATGGCCTTATTTTATAAACGAAAGCGTAAGGAACGTACGCGTTCGAACATCAAAGCGCACAAGGTTCCCGGGCCTCGGAAGGCATCATTTAAAAATCTAGGACACCATACCAGAGTTAAGAATGATAGAAACTGAACATGTCTGGCCGGCAATTTTTTATGATTTAGAAACATCCACATTTTTCAATTACAATTTGAATGTTTTACATGTGTTGTCATAGAAGGTTCGTCAATATAACTCGCAGATCTCTTTTGGTAAAGTAAGTGCTGGAGTTTCGCGACCTTTCATCGATCTTGCCGGCATTACAGCCTTCATCGCGATGTCATCAAGACAGCGGGAAGAATTCACAATTTATCTTAGATCCAAACTCCAAACTTACTTGTCGCTAACCCACTCCCAAGCGGTATTAGCAATATTAAGTTGTATTACTGTTTCAGATTTGTAGATCTTCCTTATTAGATTCTTGAGAGGAATACAATCTAGATAATTCTACCCTGTTCAATTCATTTTTTTAAATATTAGAAGAAGTTTTTAAAGTTAATAAAATACTATATACAATTTAAAAAATAATAAGTCAAGAATGTTACGGAAACTAACTGTCCGTTAACTGAAAGCTCCAAGAATTCAAAATCTGGAATAAGAGCCCGAAAAATCACACGAGATTATTCATGAACACTTAAGGAAGAACCTTCGTAGTGCGGACACTGGTTAACTTGCAACTGTAATCCTTTTTTCGATTATGATGATGCATGGTTCGCCAGGATGGTAGCTGTATTATCATATTCGATATCATCCTTTTTTTAAATGTTTCATTCCAACCTGTTCAATTTTTACATTTTAAAATTGTAAAAATTGAACATGTACAAATTTAAAAAAAGGATGATAGTGAATATGACAATTATGACCACGAGTTATTAGCTACTAGGTATTACATAGTACAATGATAATTATAATTTCTGAACATACAGTTTTGCTTATTTGAATCTCATAAAACCAATATGGACTTTGAATGATAAAGATAACCATTAAATACTGTAAGTTAAGCTGTAAGTATCAATACTTTTGCAATAACCAACTCTCGCCTCTCATAGAATAGAAAACAAATTCATTTGAATGTAAGGATTTCCAGGAACCGTGTCGAGTTATATCAGTATCAGAGCGTTATACTGGTATACGAGAACAGTGCCATTGCACTTGAGCTGAATTCCGCTACGAAGTTCTGAAATGGACACAATTTCATATCACAGCGTTACGTTTTAAACTCTGTTACTCCCACACGATGATAAAAAAAATTAACAACAAAAACAAAAATTAGAATATTGTACGAGGTATCATAAAACTTCTTCCGAATCCCATTTTTGTAATATTCATACAGTGGTAAAGACTTGTCTCTTGGGTTTGATTATAAGAATTGTCAGAAAACCAATTGTACGTTCTTTAAAATCGCTTTAAAGAAATGGGCTTATTAGGGAAATCATAAATGAGGACCCCCGAAATTATAATATCTGCAAAGTACAAAAAAATGAACATTCCCTCAGTAGACGAATCATCAATAGAAAACTTAGATGTAGCCTCTTCTTAATTGACGAGTTTATATCGAAAGTAACCTATCTCCAAGAAACACATTTTGTCCAGAAATAAAAAGTAATCGCACTCAGCTTTATAGTTCAAGATAGGATTCAATGTTTTTTGGACACCGTTTTTAACATGACAGAATTTTAAAATCGTTGGCGAAGCAGCGTCTTAACACTATATTGATAAATAAAGCTGGAAAACAAATCTAAATGGAATACAGAGCTAAGGAAATAAGCTCTTCTAATTGTTCAATGATTGCCAAACATTTTTCGGACACCACACATCGCGAACATCTTCAGTACAATCTGTAGAAACTGGGAGTCAGGCGAACAACAACTGTTAGTCGCCACAGATTACACTGAAAATGGAAATCGTCCTATATTTTACATCTTATATATTTTATCTCTTACGATTATTACACATTGATAGTGCAACAATATCGCATTTCGGATTTACAATTCGGAATTAGTCTTCAACACTTGGGTCCCGAACAAATTGGCAAGAAGGAAAAGAAACATCGTAAAGAAATATTTCGTTATTTCTCGAATATGTCGGAGACTTTCGCTCCTTTGAGGTTCAATAGATATCAAAAGTTCTCTTTGGAAAGTGCTAATGTACAATACTACTCAATAAATGTGGCGTTTGATAAACACGGAGCTGTAGTTTTTAGTATCAGTTGGTCTAAATCGTGTGGTCACATAAAGAGGGGTTAAAATGTTTTGATCTTAGAAATACAAGTATTTAAATTAGCAAATGTATAGTGGGGGTGCCACAAAAAATATGGCCGTAAGGAGGAACTACAGGGTATCCAACAAGTAGTATTGAAATAATATCACAATTCAGACAATTTTAAATTCTTCGATTTTTTAAATATCGGCATACGTGGAACAAATTTTAATATATGTTGTGGGATTGAGTTGAAATTATCCGTATTTATCTTTCGATGAAGTATTTTTGCATACCTCAAACATACTATCTTTTCATGAACTTAACCTCATTTTAATGATGCCACGACACCCACATCGTATTTATCATTACCACATATCATTTCATGACGTTAAATGATTCACGTAAACTTGTCTTAAATTGCAGTACTATCTTCAAACTGCTAGAAGACTTTATGAGGGAGCACTTTCAACGAACCGTACACTCGCTACGCTAACGAACCATATTAATTTTGATTTCAGAGCCTTTCCTACTGTTCACCTACATCTTGTCAATTAAAGATAAATATGAGGTGGTTGGACTTAATTTTTGAAATCTTTATTACACAAGATTGCAAACGTCAACAAAAATGATTTAAACCTGTGTATTATACACATATTTATATATAACGTACACACTCATCTATGAACTTGAACATTCGGTCTAATTGCAAATAAATGGTTTCATGTGGCGTTCTAAATGTTACAAAGTTTTTATGTCAGCATAAAATTCTGATATGAAGCAATACCTGAACTGTAAATCATGAAAAAGGTTGATAAAGTGATAATTATTTTATTTTGGAAAAATTTAAATACAAAATTTAAACAAATGATGCAGGTTTTGTATGGAATAAGTAGAAGTAGATCCCGCCGTTATGCACGAAGAAATGAAATTCCTCCACAGTTTAATTATTTACTGTAAAAAAATGCCAGGGCAACGCCGAGTACTTTAGCTATATTATCAAAGTTGACATATACTTAGTGCAGTTTAACGTAGCATTTCTGAATTTTAAATTCCTACTAATTAATTAATATATTTTTGTGATTCACGTTTATAAATATGTACTTGTTGTTGGCTTGATTTTGGACAATACATAAACAGTTTTGTCTACGAACGTCTCGGGGCAATAAAAAGTCACACTAATCACTGTAAGCCACCGGTTGTTTGCAAATATTTCTTTATTTGTAATCTAGATTTTGATCTTATCTTGTAACTGCTCCTACAGCCGTCCTAAATATTAAGAATACTTCTTAGTAACATGATAAGCCACACCTTCACCAAAATCGATATATTAACATTTACAGTTAGCGGGAGACTTGTTAGAGGGAAACATTTACGGTTAGCGGCAAGGAAATTAAATGTACATTTTATGCTCACAATCAAATTGGACATTTGCTGGAGTTACTAACAAATCGTTGAAAATTAAACCCCCTTCGATTCGTGAAGAAATTGTGTAAGTTATAGTGAGAAGTAAATTGTAATATTTAGAATGTACATTGTAATATTTAATATGTAAACTGTATATTTAATTGTCGGTTATGGCCATACGGTTTAAAAAGTGAGCATAAATAAAATGTAAAATCCTACGAAATGAGGAATTGCGGAAACGAGAGAATTCCTCCTTCCGCTCGAAACGAGTTTCCCTCCTTCCGCTCGAAACGAGTTTCCCTTCTTCCGCTCGAAACGAGTTTCCCTTCTTCCGCTCGAAATGAGTTTCCCTCCTTCCACTCGAAATGAGTTTCCCTCCCTCCACTCGAAATGAGTTTCCCTCCTTCCACTCGAAATGATTCTCCCCCGCTCGATCGAAATGAGCTCCCTCCCGATGAAAATAAGCTACCCTTACCGATCAAAATCAGCTTCCTTTCCTGATCAAAATGAATTCTCTTCTCGATAAAATAAACTAATCCGATCGAAACGAACAATTCCGATCGAAAGGAGGACCTCGAATAGAAACAGGAGTATTGTTATCAAAAACAACTACTCCGATAAAATAACGAATCCCGATCAAAATTAAGAGGAAAACATAAAAAAATGAGAATTCCATCCAAAACATGATTTCGGAAAGGTGAAACTTGAATCGTGATTTCCCTGAGCGAGCGACGGTGTGCACTACCTCTGCCCGGGGCCAGGGTCAGTGGCGCCGGCGTTCTCTCGCAGGAGTGGATCCCCGTCCTCGCCGTCGGGTTTGAGCAGCACCACCCACGGCGCCACGGGCGATGCAGCGTCGGCAGTCGCCTCCCCGTCCGACGGCGCGGCGCACACGTCCACTGCAAACCCAAGCACACATGGCGTAGCACACATGGCGAACATGTACACATGATGTACACATGACGCATTACACGTGGCGTTGTACACGCCCCAGTCTCACTGCTTCCAACTTCGTTATTTGACGCTTCGCGCGGCGTTGAATTTCAAATAGAGAAGAATTATGCCTGCTTTCTTCATTAAAAATTTGGAAATTTTTATCAGAATTATTTTACCTTACAAAGATGTGCCCGAAAAACGAATGAAAATAATTTTTGTCTCAACAAATGTGTCGCTTTTTTCTAAGGAAAGATGGGTAAATGATATTTCAAGATGATATTGAAGCGTATTCAAACCCAAAGGCCAGAAAATGTTAAAAGTTTTCGTTAATATAGGTAGAAAAAATAATGTATTTGAAAATAAAATCAACAATACGCGTTTTCAAATCACACTCAGTTCTATTAAACATTGATATATATTAGTTCGACATTGTAAACACTCGACGTTATAGTTTTTTTAACATTTATTTACTACTTCGGTTAAAGTCATTTTAATAGAAGGCAAACATTATTGATCTTTGATGGCCACTTTTAGCCACTAATCAGGAAGTCTCGTTTAAAACAGTAATATGAAATGTAGTCTTTCATATTAGATTGTATAAATGGCATGACCTTAGTAAAGATACGTAAGTTCATGCTGTATTGGTTAAAATAGTAATGAATATTTTAATTCTCCGTTTCCCTGTTTACGGATCAAAAATTATATTTTGTTCCGAATTCTAAATTTGGAATTATTTCCTAAGAAAAGTACAACTTTCAGCCTATACCGTAGATAATACATTAAACAATATCATTATTATTATCTTTAATGTTTAATTCAAATCTTTAGACAATTTCGAAATGTATGTCAATTAATGTTCATGCACAATTCGTTGATAGCCATTACATTACTAACGAAATAGTGGAACTCCTGCAATATTATTTCAAAGCAAATTCATATTCTGAATGTCAATACTCTAAAACGTCTGCAATGTGAAAGCATGATTAGTTAGGAAGTAATGTATACATTCTATTTTTGTTGATTTGTGACAGTAAAACGTACGCATAACACATCCACGTACATTGTTTCTAAATGTAAATGAAAACAATTGCAATTTACAATTCGTATATTTGAAAACAAATAGTCTGATTAATTATTTAATAAATACAGCATTTATTATTGCATAAATCTCTTAACTCAGTAACCGTCAGTCTCCATCAACTGTCACCTATTTGAAGTTCAGATCAGAATTGCACACATTAACTTCCGACAATGACGATACATCATTAAGGGCATCAAACAAAATCTCTCAAAGCGCAAAAAATCATTAATTTATTAATTATACTTGCTCCGTTTCAATCACCAAACCATCATTCATTCCAACTTTCAAAGTGTTTCACCTTATCACTCAAGCAAACGTATCGAGCAGCATTTCGGAACTAAACCCGGCTGCTTGCAGCAGCGACGTGGTGACGCAGACTCACCCATGGCCACCGCGGCGCAGACGGCCAGCGCTATCACTCGGAGCAACATGGCGGCAGCTGAGAAGCGGAGGCGCCCGCGGGCGCGCACGCGCATATATACTCGCGCGCGACGCCCGGGGCCGGGGCGCGGGCGGGCGGAGGGGCGGGCGGAGCGGGGCGGGCGGGCGGGCGCCCAAATGACGCCGCGCGCGGAGGGGCCCGCGAAGGCGAGAAGTGATAAGGCGCAGGGCAAACGGACTCTTTGATGGGCCACACAGCCTCGTTGGGTGATTCATGGGCTCATCGGTGAGGTGAGCGTGGAGGAAACTGGCTGGTTTGGAGGAAGCATACAATAGGTTATGAAGTTAAACAAATTGTTTCTTTGAAGGCAATGGAGATGTTTCTAGAGTACCGGTTCTAGTGTAGCTGTTAACGTAAAGGGTTTTTACTGGTGTACGGGTTTTCGGTGTACGGGTTCGGGTGTACGGGTTTCGGGTGTACGGGTTTCGGGTGTACGGGTTTCGGGTGTACGGGTTTCGGGGGGTTACTATTTTCAGTGTAATAATTGAATAAACTCTCATTCCTAGGTAAGCCTTGATTTTTATAAGTTTTAATTTTGCTAGTTAGTGGTGTTTGTTTTTCTGTTTATTCATTCATTCAACGGAATATGCGAGTCTTTGTAATTATGAGTCGAACCGTTCAATCTTCGTAGACCGGGGTCTCCGAGGTGGATCGATAAGTGCCACTGTCCAGATGAAGACATTACAGAAATCGACGATTCCGAAAAGTCATTTCAAAGGGGTCATCCATTACATTCCCAAGAATGTCTAGGGAGAACCTTGGTGACTGCGACATTTCTTTCCTTATTCTATACCCACTTCCATTTAGTTTCGAATAATGAACTGCTCCCCAAAACCTATATCCCAATCCCTGTGACATGTAGTGGTACTGGCAGATACACGTTTGCAGATATTATGACACAATGAAGAGGAGAAAGGGAACTTCTTTACTTTATTTTCACCTTCTACTTTTATATTCGGCCGCATTCGGAGGCGGCAGCAGAATAGGAGAAATTTCGGTGGCTAGGAGAGTAAAACTACAAAAAGGTCAATCAAGGCAGACCAGACATAGTGATGCAGCTATTCTATCAATCGCTGGCCAAACTTGCATTCGTATTAGCAACGTTTGCCTCTTTAAGATGATTCATATATCACAAATTAATTCTGAATCAACACAGGACAAGAAATAGGCGAGGGAATGGTAAGCTTAAAAAGGGAAATGTGTGCAAGGATGCGATTGGTAAGCTAGATTTTTCGCACTTTTCCGTTTCGAATAAACAATTGTATATTCCATTGACAATGAACTATATGCCTTTAAGTGATGTAAAGGTAAACAAATTTTAGGGTCATTTCAGTCAAACCGGGCTACTTAAAATAATTGAACACAAAATTAAGTCTGCTCGTTGGGTACATTTCGATAATTTTCATCCCCACCTAACATTTAGCATAATATTCTGACAAAACACATTTTCCAGATTTTTATTTCCAACACGGTTTCCAGATTTTTAGTTCACAGCATAGAATTTCGCAAATAGTAAGCCAATTTTACAAATAGTAAGCCAATTTCACCCACATGGTGCTTGTGAGCCCTTCTTTTATTTATCCATTTACTACTGGCGTCGGGTCAATTTGACCCAAAGGCATTTTCTCTCTTTACTTTCCAAGAACACGGCGAGCTACCGATAATTCGGATTCCATGAATTCTCTTCTGCTAATGTTCCTATGCGGAGCGTGCAATGATAAATGCCATTGACATATCAGTTTCTCTGAATTGACCTTTCTGACCCGACGGTCAGCCGCACGACGCAATTGTGTTCCTGAGCGTTTCCATAAGGTGGATGGGCAAGCGTAGTGCCTTGGCGACACCTCTCCGTCTTCACGTCTTGTTTCAGGTTACTGCTTCTGGTGGCACAACTGGCCATTTTTGGAACATTACTTAACAACAAACCGCACCTATTCCTGGAATTCTTGCCAATAAGCAAAGAAAGGAAAACACAAACCTCTCTGACTTCACAAAGAAGGTGACGATGTATCAGTCACATCACCATCTGTTGTTGTTTATACTATTCACAAGGCCAAGAAGGCCTTCTGCAGAAGTCAAAAATTGAAACGTTTCACGAAATTGTACAAAAGTTGGAGCGGACATTTGTGATCTGCTCTGTAGTAATTACAGTGTAGGCAAAAGAACAAGGTGTAAATAACTATTATTTTATTATGTGAACGTGACGATTTGAGTTGTTAAATGTATTTCTACACTATTTACTATTAAACACAATCTTCCCAAAAAATATACAAACAACATTATTTTCTTGTATCCGAATGATAAGGTCCATATGACCCGACGCCAGTGTGTTTTAGTACATACATCACGCTAGTAGTTAACGGTGAAGATAGTAATTCTACCATCACTTTCCCTCTTGATTTACAAAATTACTTCCCGAAGGATGAAAATATTTTCCGTCAATATAGATTTTTATAACACTCTCCGTAGTGATCATAATCATCAGATGACAGTATCAAATCATAATGAAGTAGATAATATACCTATACATTATTGTTCAACATATTAACATATTTTTTGTTATTGGTCTCAAAACAAAGGTTAGGAAGCTTAAACTTGGACATCCATTTACAAGATAGTTTTATCGTCTTCTTTTTATTATATGTTCTCTTCATTCCCCTTTATTTATTCATATCGAAATTCACTACTTCCATGTTAGACTCATCAAATGTATGATCAATTTATATCAAGTATTGTATTTGGTTGTCAACACTTAAACATCACATTTCTTTGTGTATTCTTTGTTAAACATTCGGCAGAAACTACATGACAAAAGTACTTGCCCAGTTATAAAGTCCCCAAACATGCCAAAAGTATGTATGGACCAACTTTCATTTTATTGATCCAGAGGAAAGGGATATTCAATTTATTGTAAAAAAAATCATTGATCAAAAAGTTACACTATGTGGTCACTAATAACCACGTAGGTTGATATGTGACTTTAAATGTTAAAAAAGCTATATATATATATATATATATATATATATATATATATATATATGTATATATATATATATATATATATATATATATATATATATACATACATATACCCAATCATCTATGTCAAAGCAAATTTCGATTATTATTTTTCGATATTATTTTTACTTTAGATATTATTAAATTCGATATTATTTTTACTTTCATGCATTTCAATTGTTAATGACGGATTGATTCGTCAATATTTATTTAACAGTGTATTTAGAAATGACATAAAAGTAAATTTTTCATTTAATCCATTGAATAATTTTTTAAACATAACTTATGAACAAAATTCGTTCACATCTATTCTGCAAATAATATGGATGATAACGAACCGATTTTGCATGGGAGGAATTTTAGTACTGGTATTTTCGTACATTACATCTCGTCACTTTTTTTCCAGATATAAAGAAAGAAACAAAATCAGTGTTCTGCTGGTTGCAGAGTTGCATGATGAACATGAAGGGGTCATTCCACAGACATTAGTAGGTCGTTAGGTCTAATCTTAAATAAACACGATAAATCAATAGGAGACGAGAACGTTTGTTACAATATCCTAAATTCATTAAGCGATTACTAATCTACTAATTAGGTCGACAAAGTGTTCTTTTGTTCGAGTCATAAGTTGTCTCTAGAAACGGCTAGGTCTTTTGTTTTGGTGTAACGCTATTGTGAAAGAGGATTCTCACTGTAACTTTAAATTTGATTGTTTTTCAGAAATCTCGAAAGATATCACAACTAACTTGGGAAATTACATTATGCTGAAGGTGCGTTCAAAAATATACTATTTGGTTGTCACCGCAAAATCAAATATTTCATATAGAAATATAAAAGTCCTTCACGATATGCCCCAAACACACGTAATTTGGCATAAGAACAAAGCAAATAATTCAAAGCGAGCTATACTTATAGAAAATCACGTTAAGCTGTGTGCTTTTTTCAAGGCGTACACAAAGCATACAGTATGGGGATGGATCAGCAATAAACTTGAATCGCTAAGCCACTAAAATAGAAGTGACAATATACATTCAAATATCCATAAAACAAAAACAAGTATTGGAAAATTAAGCTTTAATAATCTGAGCACACAATTTTGGAATTACATACCGTTAGAGGAATGTACTAGTGCTAACAGTATGTGTAAAAGGGTTTATAAACAAGCAAAATAAAATAAAATTAAGAAATTACCTTCATGCAAATACTCTTCCAAAATAATCGGTTATGCGAATAGCTGTCACCGAGTTCTTGGTTGGTTTCCCCAAAATTAAAATTTGTAGAGTGTAATGTGTGATATACTGAAATAAATAAGCCGAAAGAAATCTCGCGTGTAAGCTTCTTACTTAAATTCACGAGTTAGGAAATTGATATTAAGCGGAGTGGGGTGTAAAAACATTAGTTACACCAATTTTTATCGAAGATCTGAGATTTATTCCGAAAAATTGATCTAGAAAATTGTTTAAACTCTCATGACATACGAAAGATTGGCAACTGCAAAGCAAAGTATCGTGAATACCCTGAGGAAGCCTGCGTTATGACAGATGAAACGTCTGTCTCTCGGCCAACGACAAGGCGACACCCGGACAGCCAAGAGGTCATGAACTCGAGCCGCGAAAGCCTACGCGTACACAGTATTGTTGCGGCAGTACCAGTCTATAGATCTGCTCCGTAGAATGCTCAACTCCTGACTGAGAAGTCAGCTTACCACGCACTGATCGATATTATTA